AAACTAAAAAATATTTTTTAAAATTTTAACTTTTCTTGATTGAATTTCGTTCAAAATAGTGAAATTATCAAAACAAGAAAAAGATAATTCAGTTAAAAATATCTAATTCGTGAAAATTATTTACTTTAATTTTTAGGTAAAAAATTAAGATTTAAAATAATACTTTCATTTTATTAAATTCATTTGTCATATACTAATGAAAAATACACTGTAATAAGTTATTTTATGTATAAAAGTATTTTTTAGTAAATAAAGATTTGTAATTAATAAAGTAGTAAAATTTGATTGACAAATATTTGAAAATTGAAAAATATTTTTTAATCACTGGTCTTTACAAAGATATAAAAAAATTTTTTAGTGCTATATGAAAAATCCTGGTGTAATAGAAAAACCTACTAATATAATCAGAGTAATTATTGGGACGTACGTTTATGAAATAGAAGAAGAGGAAACGTTATTTGAAACATCTTTATTAAAAAATGCAAACAATATAAACGTGTTTGCAAATAATCAAACTGAGAATAATGGCAAAAGTTATGATCAGATCATATCCGAAACAGAGCAATCTTTTGTTTCTATGTCAAGTTCAAAGAATAAAGAAGTAAACTTAGAATATTCTGAGATAATTAACACAGATACAGAATTGGATCAATGTGAATCTGAAGTATCTAAAAATATAACACACGCAAAACCTTATTTAAATGTCTCATTATTCAAAAAAATAGAAAACAACTTATCAATCCAAAGAGCTAAAATACTAAAAAATGTGTTATACCTTTATTTTGCAACTGTGACTGATGCATTAATTTTTTATACCGAAAACAAATGTAATCATTCGATGTCATTTGAAAATAAATATGCATCTGATAGAGAGAAGAGCGAATTAAAATACTATGAAGAAATGGTAAACGTGGAAGTTAACAGAGACATTTGTCCTAAAAAAATGATAATCAAACAGAAAAAAATCAAAGTTTTAGAAAATATAAACAACAATTTAACATGTCATTGGAAAGTAATTCAAATTATATGAAAAATGAAGTTTTTAACGAATTTAACGATAGAATAGTTTTCTTTGGTACTATTTTTAAAAAGATCTCAAACCAAGAACTTGAATCAATAGAAGAATCATTCAAGCAAGGTGATTTCGATTGCATCCTAAAAAATGCTAAAGAACTTTGTGTGGGTGTTCAATCAAACATTTTTATGCAATATGTTTTGAAATCCATCAACCAGGACCAATTAAAATTTTTGATAGATGAGTTAGAGTATGATATTGGACCAATATCAGCCACAAAATACGGAGCATACGTTATTCAAACAATTTTAAATTTAGTAACAACCCCAAATTTACAAAAATTAGTTGTTGATTACTTTGAGAAATATGCACCTTTACTGATTTCACACCCACTTGGCAATTATTCAATCCAATCATTAAAAAAATACGATAGAAATTTTTTTATTTCGCTGATATTAGATAACTTTGAACCAATAATACAAACCAATATTGGACTTATTCGAAAGTGTTTAAAAAATCAATAGACTTATTCGAAAATACTAAAGATAAATTAGAATACGCCGTTGATCAATGTGAAGAGCCATTAAGAACTAATTTAAGAAAAATAATTTATAAAGAAGATCAATGCGATTCAGATTAATTTACATTTACGCTGGAATTAATTAATGAATTTTAATTTTATAATTTTTAATTTTATGGATTCAGAGAAAAAAGCTAAGAAAATCATCAGTTATTTAAACATTCCTTTTGAAAAGTTTTCTGATCAGTTATCAGCGTTAGAATCTTGCTTGAACACTGAAAGCTAAGAAACTTGTTTTTTGATACCTAATGAGCCAAACCAACAACTTCCAGAGGTGTTTTTAAGGACTAAATTATTTTATTTTTAGAGTTTATTAAATTTATTTTTTAAATTTATTATTAGATTTTACTAAATTATTTTATTATTAGAGTTTATTAAAAATGATTTAATTTAAATGGATTTTGGGTTTTGAATTCTACTGTTCAATTTTTTCTTATTTAAAACATCTTGGATCTCTAGATTTTAAATGCAAATAAAACACTAAACTATAAAAAAATAATATCTTAATTTTAAAATAATCAAAATCTTGATTTTTAAAATATTGAGATTTTCTAGAATTCTTCTTAAAAATTTGATAATTTATTTGCTGCAATTATTTATTTTTAAATTACATATTATAAGGTAAATGTCAAAGATATGTGATTTATATGATTAATTATGAACATACTCGGATTTAAATTTAGAGTATTTAGAAAAGTAAAAAATTCTAATAAAATAATTTTATTGTTTAAAATTCTCATTAAAGACATTTCACATTCTCCAATTCAACCAAAGCAATTGATTCTAATCGTTTAAAATTTTATTTAACTTTCATACATGGAATTTTTAAATCTTTATTCGATCGGCAATGTAATTAGAAAAAAGATATGCAAGAAAAAATAATCTATATATTTCATAGTTTTATACTGATTGACAGATTTTTAATTTATATCTCAAATCATAAATTTTATTTTCATTTAAATTAAAACCCCATTATAATCTAGTGAAATACTTTTAAGACTTGACTTACCAGATTATACTTATTAATAATCCCCAATAAAACTTCAAACAAAAATATTTTGTTTTTATTTTGAATCAAACATGATATATCAAGATTAAAAGTAAAATATGGTAAACAGAAGCGTTTAAAGCTTTAAAAATATAACTTATCTTATAATACAGTTTTTTTGTTTTTTATCATCCAGAACAATCAAAACATTTCACACGGAATGTTTTTACTTTCTTCTTTTCAGTCTTATAAAAACAAATGTACCTTAATCACAAGGATAACATACTTTTTAGGTATTTTAAAAAACAAAAAGTTTTTAATTTCACACGTATAAACCAAAGACTCTTAAATATATATTATATTGTTTATCATAAATTTTAATATAAAATACTTCAACAACTTCTACCCTAATAACTTGATTTGAATAAAAAAATTATGTTATGAAATAGATAATAAATATATGAATATAATTTTCATATTTGTTGAGACTGTTTTATAATTTTTCAATTTGAAATTTGTTCTTTTAAGAAAAATAAATGAAAGAACAGCAAAGTTATTTATTTTTTCTGAAAAGTCAGCCATCGACCATTATATGCAAATAAACAGAAGAACAGACTATTAAATATACTTGTGTTTAATTTAAAAGAGATTAAATTTAAAAAGAAAGTATTAGATGAAAAGTTTTACAACAATTATATGAAATAATAACATTTCATAAAATTTTAAATGGTAAATTTAAGATTCTAATTTTTTGAATAGCTTTACTACTGATCTATTTTTATATTTTACAATTTTCTTATAGTCACAGGAGAAGCACGCAATACTTGTATCTTATAGTGCTATAACCTTTAAAATGCATGCAAATATATGTCGTTTATTTAAATTTTAATGATATATAAAGATTTGATTTTGCTATGTAACAATGACAACGAATACAAAATAAATGATAAAATTATAAAAGAATTGAAGCTTACTTTGGGTTAATCAATAAAATTAATTTATTCTTACTGTTTTTTATTCTCTTTTTGTGATTAATTCTTTTAAATCTTCTAAATTCTCTTCTTTTTTGATAAAATTGTCTTCTTCTGGTTCAAACAGTTCGAATGATTCCCATTTGGTGATCATTTCATCAATACAGTCATCCCAATTGTCTTTTTCTTTCATAAAATTGGTATTAATATAACATTAATAAAGATTCGAAAAATTAAACTTGATATTATAGGTTTAAGTAAAATACACAAAAACAAATAATATTTAAAATAAAATCTTTAACAAATAAATACTGTAATCTGTACATTATATAGGATTATAAATAGTATAAATATTATTTTTTCAACAAATATGATTATTTTACAAAACTGAAAACATATAATACCCTTCAAACTTTATTAAAAATATTTAAAGATTATTAAAGCTTTAATTTTAATTATATCATACCGATTGCTTATAAAATACCTCGATGCTTTGAGGCTAAAATATTTGTAAATGATATAGTGAAATATTTTAACAGATGAGCACAATAGCTTGATAAATTAAAAACTATTATATTATAGTAAATGTTTTCATTGTAAAATCTTATTATTAATATTTTGAGAGAAATATAAAAAGAGCGATTTGTTTATAAATACATAAATTCTAAAATAAACTAGATTTTTGAGAAGTGTTATCGACCAAACTTCGTATACATCACTCAAGTCTCTTGTATAAAAATACAATTTTTGTTAATATTTAAATTATTTTTCGGTGTTGATAAAATATCATATTATAGATATTTATTTATTTATTTTTATGCATGTTACTTTTATTAAAATTTATAATATGTTTAAAATATTTTTTTTATTAAAAATGGTTTTATATATGTAAATAAATTTAAATTTTTATATATGTCGGCGTTTCAAGATATATTCTTAAAAGGTCAGTAAAGTGTATACGTAAAAGTGAATTTTGTTTAAATGCTAAAGCTTTAGTAATCACATATTGATTACAATTATTAAATGATTTATTTACAATTCAAATAGTATTGTAGTTTTTTATTCTTTGTATTTATGATAATATATTTATAAAAAATTGTCATCATAACTCTTTAAGATTCTAATATATAGATGCTATACAGATGATATTTTATTCACTTCCATAATGCGTTTTAAAAATGAACATCCTAGTTTCATGAAATACAACAATCAAAAATGAAAATAAAAAACAACCCAAAAAAAACTTTTATTCTATTATAAATTGAAAGTAAAAATTCTTGCGCTTTTATAGTAAATTGTATGATTTAATAGCTTAACTAAAAATTCAATACAAAAAATAATTTTTGTTTCTATAAATATTTTGCAAATAAAGTAACGTGTTTTTTATAATAAAAGAGTGGTAAATTTAAATAAATAATTTGACTTTAAATATTACAAATATTATTATTAAACTTTATACATAATAAAAACATCGGTTCCCTAAAATTTAACAATATGATTTTAATTAGTTAACATAAAAAGATTTTTTACCAGGGAATAGTTTCATTTTGTTTTTATATTTCTTTGCTTTTCACAAATAAGTGCATAAATAAAATGTCATTCAATTTATAAACATTTTTTATTTGAAGTTTTTTTTTCTAATTATTAAATTAAATGAGACTATCTAATGAATGTATGTTTTTTGTACATAAACTTAGAATAACACTTTTTATTTCGTTTTGCATTGTTATTATCTAAGTATACTTGTAACTATTTTTATTGAATTGAAGACGCAAAATTCTCTGCTAATAAAAGCAAATAAATAATAAAAACTTCAAATATATATTGTTTTTTTGTAAAAATTTTTAAAAACTTAAGTAACATGAAAAAATATATCCTCAAAACATTCTTAGTTAATTTTTTAAATCATATTTTTGTAAAAAACAAATCTTTATTTCTATTTATAGTTTTTTCTTCAAAATCAAAAACTTAATCCTAATATAATAATTAAACACAAATAAATAGAATAGTTGCTAGATAAGCCATGTATGTTTATTTCTACAAAATATTTAGATTGTTGTAAAAATATTTTTTTATGGGTTGTTTTTTAGATTTTATAGTGAAAAACTTAGTTTTAGTATTTTCAAAAGATAATTTAAATTTTTTTTTAATTTTAATATATTTAAATACATTTTAATTTTTAGGTGTGTATTAATTTTTTCAAAGTTTTTAAATGTATAAGAACTAAAATAATGAAAAAATAATAAACAATAACTAATATTAAGGTTATTATATTATTTTTGTATTGAATAAAATTTTATCTGTATTTAAGCAATCTAATTAATTATCAATCTGTAAAGTTTGTAAATTTAAATCATAATCAGCACAAAAATAATCTTTAATAACTTTTAAAGATTAAATTAACCGATTTTAACATTTATGCTGTAATTATTAAAACAAATTTTACTTTTTTTTGTTAAAGTATAAAAATTTATTTGCTTGAAACTATTTACTTCAACAAATTAATAAATCTATTTGATTTATTTATAAATTTAAAAACATTAAAGATAATAAAAAGGTAGATGCTAATAATAAAAAATGATGAAATTAAGAAAATAAAATATGCTATTTACCAACACAAAACCTGCAGATTTGATTTAAAATTTATTACTCGTATGCTAACTAGTCCTTAAATCTGTTAATAAGGTAATTTGGACTTCAATGATTTTAATTTTAACAATATTCTATATTTTTTTCTTGGAGGTTTTCTAAAAATATTGTTAAATTTATAAATATAAGTATTAACCTACAATTTAAATTTTAATAAACCGTTATTTTTAAAGATAGAGGTTTTTAGAATTTTGATTGTTGGTAATAAGTCACTTACTTTAGTAAAACCAACAAAATATTCTTCTATGAAAAAGGTATTTGTTTTTTGTTTATCTTTTTAACTATGAGGTTGTCATCGATATAAATTATTTTGATCTTGTTTCATCTTATATCTTATCTTGTTTTTAAAATATCATTAGGTCGTATATGGATAAACCAACAAAAGAAATTTTCATGATTGTATTTTTAAATAATTTAAAACCCACTAATGCTGAACTAATATTATAAACTTTACATATAAATTGTGTTTTTATAAATAGTATTGATTCTGTTTGTATTGGTACCTTATATTTTTTTCATTTTTTAAATTAAAACAAAAGTCATCTAGACTTCAAACAAATGTTTTCCGTAATGTTTTAAAGCTAAAAATTTTGTTTCTAAAAATATTAAAGTTTATCATAAACTTATTAAGATATTAACTCAGATATTTTTATATAACATTTATTTCCAATGAAGCAAAAGTTTGTAAAAGAATTTATAAATTTCTAAAACAATTAAGATAAATTATAATTGAAATCCTATATATACTTTCGATTTTTCAACTTTTTGCTTGGTAAAAAGAAATGATATGTGATTTACAAGTTTATAAATTAAACCCCTGCTTTTTTTTATTTTTTAAAATATACCAGGCTGAAATTTTTATATCTTTTATTTATACTAAATTAACTAAAGAATGGTTATTATTATTTAAACATATTGGTTTTTGCGTTACGATTTGTAATTCGCTTTATTTATTTTTTTTATTTTAAAATACTGCTGTTACAATGTATTTTTAAATAAAGATAAACACTAATAATAAAAAATTGTTTTGATATTTAAATATCCAGAAATATTTTATTGACTCTATTTTTACATTCTAGAATAAACATGTCTTACGTTAATAAAAAAACAGTTATATATTTATAACCTAATAAAAAATTTTAATTTTTAAATAAAAATTCGTAAAATTATAAAACTTTATATTTGCAGTGGCTATTTAAATACTAAAGGCTTTTTATTCTTTTGCCCCTTATTCAAGACAATATTTTATATTAATAAATGCGTTTTAATAAATTTAATTAATGACACATAAATATTGCAATGAGATATTTAAAGGCAAGAATATTATTAGCTAGATTATATTCTTCTGAATGTTTTTTTACTAGCACAATTTAAACATAAAATACTAGATATAATATTTTAAATCTTTAATAATTCTTCGCAATCTAACTTAATTATCTATATGACTTTGCTATGCAACAAAGATAACATTTTAAAAGTGAGTTACTATTTTAGTATTTTTGAAAATAAGAAATTTTTTTGAGTTTTTGGTTATTAAATACAAATTATTTGTTTTTGTTGAGTATTTTGTAATTATTTTGAAATTTTTTGACAAATATCAAAAACATATTTATCGATATCATATTTATTTTTAAAATTACACTTTAATTATCGTTTTTTATTTAAGTTTTTTAAGATACAGACATGATTTATAAACAAATGTTCAAAACTAATATTATTACACATCATTTAGGTTGAGTACCAAATTTAAAACCAATTTATTTCAAAAATATTATTTTTATACAAAAAAAATTTTAGATGAATTCAATAACAATACAATTGATATAAAAGTTATTATTTTATTTGACTACTAATAAAAAATTATTTTGGGTTAAATTATTAGAAAATTAATTTTTTATTATACTTTATAAAACCATCTTAAGATATACTTTAAAATTTAAATAATACTTAAATGCTCGAAATAACATACACGCTTCTGACTGTGAAGTGCCATGTGTCTCTTCAAATCCTTCGATTGAGTAAATTCCTTATTACATACTTCACATTTATAGGAATGCTCTCGTTTATGAATCAGCATGTGTTTTATCATATGACCTCTTACTGTGAATGTCTTTTTGCATATATTGCATTCATGGGGACGTACCCTACTGTGTATCAGCATGTGACTTTTCAGATGACCTGATTGTGTAAATTTCTTTTTGCATATATCGCATTCATGGGGACGTACCCCACTGTGTATCAGCATGTGACGTTTCAGATGACCTGTTAGTGTAAATTTCTTTTTGCATATATCGCATTCATGGGGACGTACCCCACTGTGTATCAGCATGTGACGTTTCAGATGACCTGATTGTGTAAATTTCTTTTTGCATATATCGCATTCATGGGGACGTACCCCACTGTGTATCAGAATGTGACGTTTCAGACTACCTGATTGTGTAAATTTCTTTTTGCATATATCGCATTCATGGGGACGTACCCCACTATTGCAAACGTCACATTCATAAGTTGATGTTTCAACTAACTCCTGTTTGACTTCTTCTTCAATTGTAACCTCAGAATTCATGAATCTTTCTAAACACGTATCACCATCTTCAGAACACGATTCAGATTTAACAGTAACATCATGATCATCAAATCCATCCTCCATTTCGAGTTTAATGTCTTCTGGTGAATATTCTGGTGGTTCAATTTTAATTGCCTGATCATTCATAGACATAATTGTTTCCTCCGACATGGCTAGTGCTAAAACTAAAATGTTTAAATAAGTTTACCTTACAATAAAAGCTTGACAGAAAATATGTTACAAGAAATACTGGCATTCATGTGCACTGGGCATTAATTTTGATAAATATGTTATTATAATAATGCTCACTACGTTTGTTTTATATAAAAGTAGTTATATAATTTATTTTAGGCAGTTTTTTTGAGATGATATATTTAATTATTTAGAACTTCAAAATAGTAAGTAAAACATATGAGTATTTCGCATCGAGGTCTCTTTGCTTGACAAATATTGAATGAATCTAAAAAAAATTGTAAAATCGATTTAACATTATAAAATAAATTATAATGTTGTATTATTTTATATTGTTGACAATCTCTACTCATTGTTTTATCTAACATATCGCAGAATAAATTAAAATAAAAAATAACTGTTTTGATTGTAAATTTTTGTAAGAATGATTCAACACTATAATATAATTTAAAATCAAATTATGATGTTATCCCTATATTACATTTTTTTGTATCAACATTGAGACATTTAGTTATATGCTTGTCATAGTATCATCATTGAAATAGTAAATCAAAATTATAAAAATTAAAACATACCTGATTCAGATAACTACACAAAATCACCTGATGTTCACAAATGCCTATATCAAATCATTTCTGATAACATCCCTGTAATAAGAATAGTAAGGTTATTATTGGGCAAATGGTTATTGAATTAATGTTTATTGAATTGAAAATCAGTGATTTCATGTATCAACATGAGACATTTAGTTATATGCTCGTCATAATTTCATCATTTAAAGAGTAAATGAAAAATATAATAATTATAACATAGTAACATAAGATAAGAGTGAAAAATAAAATAGAATACAAAATAATGGAAAGTTTTCCATTGTAATGATATCCATATAATTGTCATAAAATAAAAACAAACTAGTTGGTTTGGTATTTAGCCTTGGGGCAAGTAACATGAACTTCCCGATATGTGAAAATAATCGACTTAATCAAAAAAAAAATATGTAAATAATATACTTCATCAATCCTACTTTAAAAAAAAAAACGATAATAATTTTAGCAAAGTTTGACGAATTTTTAAAATTAAACTACTTGTCGTAAGGCCGTAATATTGCAGTAAGTTCTATAAGACCATGATGTATATCGTCAAAAAAAGTTTCATGAAAATCGGCTTAAATTTTTTTTTCAACAGTTAATTACAAGAAAACGGCTCGGTAGATTTTCACCTAAAACTAATCAGCATCATTCCCAACTAATATCTTTCGAACCGTTTTTGATTTTTTAAAATCGGTTCGATAGGATGAGCTTAAATATGGACGAAAAGTTTAACACTTTTTTTCAAATTGCAAAGAAACGGCTTGGCAGATCGTCGCACCAAACTGACAAGCGATAGTCCTCAGCGAAATACATCAAATGGCTTTTAAATTTCTAAAATCGGTTTAGGCGTTTTTGAGAAAACGTCGATCAAAATTTGACAAATCCCAAAAAAACGATACCAATTTTTGCAAATTTTGACGAATTTTCAAAGTTTTTTTTTAGAAAACTTTATTGCAAAAAAACGGCCCGGCCGATCTCTAGCAAAAACCAATCAGCACGATTCCCAACCAATATCTTTCGAACGGTTTTTGAATTTTCTGTGATTTATTAAGAAACGGCTTGGTCGATCGTCGCACAAAACTGACAAACAGTAGTTCTCATCGAGATACATCGAATGGCTTTTAAATTTTTGAAATCGGTCCAGCCGTTTTTCGAGAAAACGTCGATTTACGGCAAAAAATCTTTAAAATCTCTCTTTTTCCAAATTTGGTCTCATTCGATTCAGAATGGCTTGAAACGTCGAGAGAACATAAAATTGGCAATTCGGATTTTTTGATGAACACAAACTTCTCCTTCGGGAAGTTAAAAAACATGATACAAATTTTTTTTTCCAAAATCAATTATTTTGTTAAAACAAGCAGAAAGTTATTTGAATGATTTGAATCGGACATTTAGCTCTGTATCTTCAAAATGGCTGGGCCTGCCTTTGCCAAAAACTAATAACCACTTCTACCAATCATTACTAATTGAATGTTTTTTAGATCATTCAAATCGGATGCTCCGTTCTCTCAAAAACTCGATTTCTATTTTTTGCACTCTTTGCACCATATCTCCGAAACGGCTGGACCTGCTTTTGCCAAAAACTAATCAGCACATCTCCCTATCAATAGGAATCGAATGTTTATTAAATCATTCAAATCGGTTGATCCGTGCGCCCGAAAACGTGGACAAAAATTTGTATCCATACATACACACTCACATCCATTTTTTCTGAAGTATGCTAAAATATTCAGAAACCTTCAAAAGGTCAAAAAATGCAAAAAATTTCGATTTCTATTTTTGGACGATTACAATAACTTACCCTACGGGAAGTTAATAATGATAATAAAATTAATAAATGAAACTTGTGAATAATAATATTATTAGAAAAACAATAAAGTGCAATAAAAACAATAAATAAATAACAAAAATATAACAAAAGAGCAGCATTAAAAATAATAAAACAACAAAGTAATAATAATAAAATAAATTATCAACAAAAAAAATCCAATGATCTATAAATATAGATTTAAAAAAAAGTCTATATTATCTTTAAGTCTAAGAGAAGTTACGGTAAAATTTATGATAGAAAAAGTTGTAGCTCATTTAATCACCTTTAAAATAGTGTATTAAAAGTTCTGATAAAATCAGAATTAAAAGAGTAATAATCCAATTAATGCGGTGGATGGTGACGGAGTGCAAATTATTTTCACTTCTGAACTTAAGATAAGGATTAGCCTATTTCCAAACTATCAAGTAAATTGGAGCACAGTAAAAAAATTCACAGAGCAATAATTTTGTTGGTCGTAAGTTGAATAGAGCACATGTAAACAGAATTTATAATAAACTTAAGCAATAATGTATATTGATTGATTTATTGGAGAAAAAAATATAATTTACATATTAAAATTACTAAAAGCCAGTTAAAATATAGTACGAAATTATAAAAATTATAGGCAACATTATTGAAGCAATAATTATAAAAATAAAAGGTGGTAGAAGAAAGCAAAGGTGATATTGCACCTTTGCCGCGAATGCGGCAAAGAATATTAATTCTTTCTGAATTTGTTGTACTTTTTAAAAGATTTCAATTTTCAACACGTGTATCTTATGTTAAGACCATAAATCACAAAGGCAGACGATCATTTTTAGTGCGATAAATTTGGAAAATCAATGCTTTAGTCGTGAATAAACAAAAAATCATTCATTTATGCATCCACATCTACAGGTATGACTAAAAATACTATATAACCCTTAAATGCAATAGAATAAATTGAGCTATTGGAAATAAATTTGTTCTATAAATCGCAGTGTATAATTTTTAATATACAATTTTATTGAACATTTTTTAATATTTGTTAAATGAATAATTAAAGTGTTATCTGTGGGAATTGAGAACAATCATTTTATTTGAAACAGTTCTACATTAAACATCACTCATATATTGGTGTAAATAGTATTTCAAAAAACAGTAATTATTATTTTTAACTAAGCAGTAAATATTAGTATAAAATATTGAAAAATTTTAGACGTGGGTACAGAACAACGTCTGTCGGGTCAGCTAGTATATATATAAATATTTATAAATGTGTGTACGTATGTGTGTGTGTGTGTGTGATACCGTACGCGTATATATGTTTAATAACGTGCTGTTGAGTGTTGAAATGAATATATATTTGTATATATATATACATATATATGTATATGTATATGTATATTGTTACGAATTCCTTTTATTTGTTACGAATTCCTTTTATTTCTTTCTAATCCTTATTTTATTGTCAGTCAGTTAAACTCACTGTTACCTTTTATCGCGTACTGCTGAAAGATTATTTAAATTTACAACTACAAGTAATGAGAGGCGTTTGTTCGTAACTTAATTAACAAACCTATATTTAAACATAACAATCCTTTAATCTAAAACATTTCTTATTCTAACATGCAACTTATTCTAGACTTATCTTTAACCACGGCGCAACCAGTGTCCATCACATGTCCATACATCGGGCCCGATTCACATAAATCACTTAACCATCACCTTTAGGTATTTTCACTAAGTCTACTTTCTGTTTGGGGACAGTCTCCGAACGCTGTCCCCCCATGATGTCCTCTAATCTCACATTCAATACATTTTATTAACACTTTCGTGCGCTGGACCGCACGTTTGTCGACACTGAGGCCACGCCGGCAACTCTCAACCCCGACAACGACTACCTCAAGACTACCACCATTTCTAGACTACTACTAGACTGTTAAAACAGACAACTCTCAGCCCTCGACACACTCCTCATCAGGGACATGGTGTTTTTATGCATATAGGGAGAGGGGTAGTTGTGTGTTATTTTACATCCGTGTGTGGGTCCTCACCCACACATTCGTAACACTACCCCACCTCCTCTAAAGATCGCCCTCGATCTTTCAAAACTCCATCCCTGGTGCTGCACCAGCTTTCTCTGCTCCGGAACCTAGGTGGTGCACTCCAATATCAGTCTGCTCCCCGGATAAAACATCGATGGCGCATTCCCACTTGTCCGATCTGCGGTCTGCTCTTATCCCGTAGGCTCAGACTTTCCTAAATCCGGCATAGCATCTGCACAGGCGTCGACCTCTAGCACCCTGATACACAATTCGGGTCGCGATGTTTCAGTAATGTAGTTGTACACGCGTTCAATTTTTTCTTGCACTGTTACACAAAATTACTTCCCAACAGATTTCAACCAAAAGTAAGATTACATTAACAGTTTAGTGTATTTGTCCAAAAAGTGTCATAACAAACAAAAAAAAAAAACATCACTTAGTCCCCTTTACTTATTCACTGTTTGTTAAAACTTTGATCTAACCTTATTGCTTTTATTACTACCTACATAAACTACATTCAAATATAATAACAAAATCGATCAAAGTTAATTA